AATAATAATAATAACAATAATAATAATAATAATAATAAAGGTGTTTGATTATTTTGTTTGCTCGTTCGTTCGTTCGTTCGTTCGTTCATTTATTCAACCATTCACTCATTTACTTCTTAAAGAGTTATAATACTCATTTAATTATAATGATTGATTTGTTTGTATTTATTTAAAACACCTCTCGTGAACAGCTTCAGCTACTGAAGTCAAACTTTGAGAACGAGCCACTCCAAACAGCAGCACCACCACCACCAACGACAACAACTACAACGACAACATCAACCAACAACGGCACGACAACAGCAAACACGACAACTACGGCAGCTACACAATCCGACACGACGACAACGGCCATACAGCCCAATGCTGCGACGACGACATCGACAGCAGCAGCAGCTTCACACGCCGCATCGCGACAGCCACACACTACATACTACTTCTACCTTTTCGTATTATCTGGTGAACATGGTTGGACTGTCAAACGTTCCTTTGGTAGTTTCTGTGAGGTCGATAGACTGCTGCATAAGTGCGTCTACAACAGGGAAGTTAGCACGCTGCCCGAAATGACCTCTAACCTCATCGATGAGATTGGTCTTGATGTTAGAGCAATTTTGTTTTTGATGTTACTACTAACTTCGTTGTTGTTGCTGCTACTGCTGCTACTCCTACTGCTGCTGCTGTTGTTGTTGTTGTTATGATTATTATTGTTATACTTCGAAATTTATTACTTGTTATTCGTTATAATTTAATGCGAGATTTTTTTTAGCTCATTTTTGTTGATGTGTTGTTCGATCTGGTTTTTATTTATTCATCTGGTAGAGATTGCTGAAATGATACTTCTTTGAATTTGAGGTTATATCTATTTCACGTACACACACATGTGTTAATTTAATTCCACACACGTATACACATACACATTCACACATACATGCCTGTACAATACACACTCATACATACACACATACATAAATATGATCACATACACATAATATACACTCCTACATACATATATATACACACACGCATGCACATACACGCACACACGCACAAACACAAACAGACATACACGGGTTTATCATGTTTTTTTTTAACACAGTCAATATAAAAATCAGACTTGCATGTGCATCTTGCATCATATGATCCATTATAACTACAATGATTATGCTTATACATTTTAAATGGAAACACACACACACTTACATACAGACACACACAAACACACATACACAAGCATTAATATTATCAGTTTCTCATGAAATACACCAACTTTAAATTTTTCAAGATTTACAATGAAAAAGTAAAAAAACAAAAACCTTTTCCAATGTATGTATGTGATTAGTTGATTAGTCATTTATTTTAGGGCTCATAATGTTTAAACGATTAGACGTTTAGATATACACACACACATACATACATACCATACACACACACACACACACACACACACACACACACACATTGAATAACTTTTTCAGAATTGTTTCAATACCTTGAGAAGTTACATTGAAGAATTGTCAGCCAGACTCAAAGATACTGCCAATCTTATAAACTGTGGACCTATATTGGCATGGCTTGAGGTACTATAATTTTTTTTCCTCTCTCTTTCTCTCTCTCACACACACACTCTCTACATTTTTATGTAGTTGTGTGTTATTGGCTCAGTTTGTTTTATAACTATACATACAACAATAGTTTTTTGGTAGATAGATGGATGTAGAAGCAGTGATGTAAATGAAGTAGAAGTGGTACATGGAGGGATAGTTGGATAAATGCATGCATTGATTGACAGAAGAATGGTGATGATGAAAGATTTTAATTATGATTAGTTTTCAACAGTAAGCTGAGTAAAGGCACTATTTCTCTCTCTCTCTTTCTCTCATTTTTCTCTCTCTTTCTCTCCTTTATTTGTTTCTTTTATGTAACTTGTATCTTGTTATTTTGATTCTATTGTTTACGTTTACCAAGTTTATTATTCATTTTTTTTGTGCTTATTTTTTTCTGGTTTACATAGAGTTAAGAATAGTTTAGTGTGTACAGTGTGAGAGTTTATCGTGGAATGTCATCTTACTTTATTTTCTTTGTTGTGAAAGAGTGAACTTTTAGCACTATTAGGTTTAATCGTTGTCTCATCATTAACATTTTTATTTTATTTTAATTTATTTTAATGTATTTTCATCTCACTCATTCACACAACCGTTCTTTCACTCATTTTTTCATCCACTCATTCATCCACTCTTTCATTCATTCATCCATCCACCCACTCACACATTCATCCACGCATTCACTCATCCATCCATTCATTCACCCATTCATTCATCCATTTTGAGATGGACAACAAGGGGAAGCATTTGTTGGTGCTGGAGTCAGAGCCCTCGGTGAACATCCCCGCCATTGGTGCAGGCCAGGTTATCGAGGCGTACATTGCCCAAGCCTCTGATGAATTGTCCTTCGAGGTCACTGCAAACTATGCTGGCTTCTTCTGTTTCTCGTATTTCTAAATTAACTTCATTCCTTTATTTATTCATTCATTCGTTTGTTTGTATATTTGTTTGTCTGTTTGTTTGTTTGTTCATTTGTTCACTTATTTTTAAGTTTGCGAAGTGTTATGCTGATTGCAGGTCGGTGATATAGTGTCGATAATCGACAAGCCAACATCTCAGGAGTCCCTCTGGTGGCTTGGGAAGAAAAATTTCAAAGTTAGCCAGTTTGATTTTGTATTGTGTTACCGAAATAATGAGTTCTCTTTATTAGTTCAGTTGTTGATTCATCATTCTTTTTTTCATTCTTTTTTTCGTTGATTCACTCTTTCTTTGATACGTGATTCGTTCTTTTGTTGTATTGATGGATGGGTGATAGAATAAACAAACAAATGAACGAGTGAATGAATGAATGAATGAATGAATGAATGGGTGTATGAATGTATAGATGAATGACTGAATGAATGATAGGGGGAATGAATGAATGATTAAATTAAGGAATGCATGACTTATTGATTGATTGACTGACTGGATAAATAGATGGATTGATGAATGAATGAATGAATGAATGAATGAATGAATGAATGAATAAACAGGCAGGCTACTTTCCTTCCAAATGCGTTGAGCTGATAACTGGCTCCACAAAATTTACAGGATCAGCGTCATCATTGTCCAATATAAATGTCACTAAGCCAGGTTCTGCTATAATACATTGTTCAATTATTTATTTATTTATTTATAATTCGTTCTCTAAATGACGTCATTATTAATACCATTCATTCATTCATTCACTTAAAATCATTCATTCATTCAAAATCATTTCCTCTAAATATTTATTTGCTATTCTATTTTTTAGTTTTAATAACTTCCTGATGTTGGGAATTGTAATTTAATGGCTGTGTAATTACGCTGCAGTACGACTCTGCTGTTGTGTTGATGATGACGACGACGACGATGATGATGACGATGATGATGATAACGACAATCACGATGATGATATAATAATAATGGGGATGGTGGTAATGGAAAAATAATACAGATCCTTAGTGTGTCAGAGTTTGATTTTTTAAGAATAAATTACACTTCTATTCTATTATTTCTACTTTACAACAACAACAACAACTACTACTACTACTACTACTATCACCACCACTACTACTACAAATAATAGTAATAATAGTAATAATAATCACGTGACCAGTTCTCAGTAAACGCGGGAAATTCGCGGCATTCCTGCATTCTTTCTTCTCGACGAGACCGAACAGAAACAATTTGAAGAGCTCTGGAATTGTGAAGGAGAGGTTGTTTGGCTGTGATCTCGGAGAACATTTGTTGGATAGTGGTCTCGATGGTTGGTTTGTTGATTGACTGCTTGGTTGGTTGGTTGGTTGAGTGATTGGTTGGTTTGTTGGTTGGTTGGTTGGTTAGTTAGTTGATTGGCTGGTTGACTGCTTGGTTGTTTGACTGGCTGACCAACTGACTGACTAACTGATTGACTGACCAACTGATTGATGATTGGTTAGCGTGTACCAAACGAATGAATTAAGCCTAAACCAACCAACCAACTAACTAACCAATCAAACAGTTCCAACGATCGTGACCATCTGCATTGATTTCATCGAGAAGCATGGCCTGGTTGACGGCATCTACAGGCTTTCTGGCATCACATCCAATGTACAGAAACTTAGGTTGGATGAAGAGGACGATAAGATGGAAATGATGACGAGGACGATGAGATGGGAATGATGATGACGATGATGATGATGATACTGAGGTTGTTGTTAATTGATTGCACAATTTTGATATGAAGACAACAAATACAAAATAATGAATGAATGAGTGATGATCAAACGAACGAACGAACGAACGAACGAGCGGATGAGCGGATGAATGCATATCAAATTACAATACCTATACAAATGAACAACCAATAGAATAATAATAATTGCCATTAATAAATTCATAATAACATAATTATTATCTGCGTAATTATTATTCTTAAATTCATAATAATAACATAATTGTTACTTTTTATTTTTCATATTTTTTTTTCCACCACCCAGAAACGACTTCGACGCGTGTATGACGGCTGATTTGAGCACCGCCTTCGTCCTGCAAGATCTCCACTGCGTGTCCTCCCTACTCAAGATGTACTTCAGGGAACTGCCCAATCCGCTCTTCACTTACCAACTCTATCAAAAAAGATAATTGTTAGTCCACTTGTTAGTTGATGTGAGTGTGTGCTTATCTTCTTCTGTGTGTGTGTGTGTGTGTGCTTATGTGTTTCTCTTCTGTGTGCTTCTCTTTCTCTGTGTGTGTGTGTGTGTGTGTGTGTGTGTGTGTGTGTGTGTGTGTGTGTGTGTGTGTGTGTGTGTGTGTGTGTGTGTGTGTGTGTGAGAGAGAGAGAGAGAGAGAAATGAAATTGTTGTGTATAAACATAGAAACAATTATTATGACCGTTGTGAGCATCTGAGTCAAAATGGCATCTACATTTCTGTATAACATCTTAAGGAAACTGAAGTCATGCCGAACAATGCTTCCATGTTGAACTCTCTGGCTCACGTCATTCATCTTCTTCCTCCTCCTCATTACAGGTTGGTCTCTACTTCTCTCCTTCTCTCTCCATCTATCTATCTATCTGTTTGTCTGTCTGTCTGTCTGTCTATCTATCTATCTCTCTTTCTCTATGTCTTCTTCCGTCTTTTTATATGTTCCGAACCCACCGTCTTAACATTGCATATTGCAGTACAATTTATTACCACACGTGAACAGGACAGCAAAAGCATTGTTCCTCCATTTGAACTTCATGTCGTTGAAATCCTCCCTGACCTGCATGGATTCCAGGAACCTCTCCATCGTCTGGGCACCCAACATTTTGAAGTGAGTTATGTGGTGTTGGCTGGCTGGCTGACTGGCTAGTTGGTTGGTTGGTTGGATGGTTGGCCGATCGGCTGGTTGGTTGGCTGATTAGCTGATGGATTAACTGATGAATAGTTTTGTGATTGATAAAGTTAAATTTTTTCTGTTGTTCTTTGATGTGTTATAGTTGAAAACGAATTAATAAACCTACAAATTCGTTAAACGTTATTTCTTCACAGCTAATCACCTTTTTATTTTAATTCACTATCATTTGGAATATCCTATTACCTGATTGGTTAAATTTAAATTTCTCCCAACCAATCATTCATCTCACCACAGTTCGAATTTTGAGGTGATGAAATGCGAGAACATGTTAGTGATATCAAATCAGCAGGCTGCGATTGTCGAGTGCATCATCAGCAATGCACAGTTCATATTCAAAGAATTCAGCTCCTCTGGTTAGTTTAGCTCTAGACGTTAGCATAATTTATTCATTCATATGTTTATTTATTTATTAGTTGAATAATTAATTAATAAATTAATTATTTATTTATTTTTAATAATGCCAATAACGACATGTACGACAATGGAGTCAATGATGTTGGCGATACACCAACTAACCATGGCCACAAACTACCACCACAAACCACCTCAACCACAAACAGATCTAAGCGACGTCAGCCAATCACCAACTCTGCAGCCCAAACATCAGCGTCAACAGCAACAAAAACAGCGCCAACAACAACAACAGAAACATCTACATCCACCAAATTCTCCCGCAAAATTAATTTCTCTTGAGGAGGCACAAAAACTTTTTGGGGGGTGTGTCGTCGATGAGGCCAACCCTAGAAGGTGTGGGCCTACGGCGAATTTCAGACATAGGGCTTCCGTTGATGGGGTGGAAGGGGATGCAGTTTTCACGGACTTGGGAGTGACGGGTAATATACATGCCGTTATTGACCCGCCTAAAAGGTTCTGAAGTTTTTATTGTGTAAAAAATTTTTTCTCGTTCGCATTTTTTTTTTCTTGTTCGTATTTTTTTTCGGATCATATCCTTAAGAAAGTGGAAATGGGATGAAATTGAATTAGAAATGTATAAAGAGGGAAAAATTTTGAATGTAAAAAATAATGTAATTGAGTTGTTGTTGTTGTAATTTATCAGTATTAATGTATCTGCTCTGTTGTTGTATGGCTCTCGAGCGTATGTTTTTGTGTGGTGTGTGTGTGTATGTGTGTGTGTGCGCGTGTGTCTTGTTACGATTTGACCATATTTGTGTTTATATCAGCGACATCTATGGCATCGACTTTCTTTTTTTTGTCTATATCTTCTACGAACAATCATAATCAGTTATTTAGCTTATTAATTAGTTTATTTTGCTTTAATATATTTTTAAAAGCATCTATTTTTTCGTTTATTTCCATTTTTGTTTTCCGATATTTTTCTGAATGTATGCATCGACCCAGTTGATTTAATCAACTAGTTATGCAGTCTTTTTTAGTTTTAGAAAAAAATTAATAAAAATATAAAATTTGTAAAAAAAATGTTTTTATTTTAGAAAGATCAAAGATATATATATATCTCTCTGTCGTCTGTGACAATTGATTCTAATCAGTATTTATTAGTCTTACTTGCTACTCTTATTTATTCTGTTTTCAAGTTTTATACCGATGAAATTCGAGATTCAGAGTGATCACAAAATGATGATTTTTTTTACAAACATGATCTTTTTTTAATTTCTTTATCTATCATTTTTTTCTGTTTAGTTGTTTTCATTTCAATGTGATAAATAAAAATATTTAAACTTTAAAATATCGTTTTGTTGTTGTTGTTGTTGTCGTTAACATTTTCATTATAACTAACATCGTAGTAGTTAATTCAGAGCCGGATTTGCTAGTGGGAGGCCCTTAATTATTTAATGAAAGGAGGGATACCCCTTATTATTTGTAGATACCCCTTATTATTTTATGGATGTTCCTAATTATTCGGTGGCTATCCTAACTTGTTTAATTTGTAGTTGACGACTGTTTTTTTATGTTTAAGTTACACTATCTTTTTGCGAAGACCCTTCATTTGTAGAGGGCCGACTACCTTGCCTTAAATCCGGCCCTGGGTTAATTAGTCACCGTAAATTCACAATTAAAATTGCATCGCTTAAAAATTTTTTTCTCTAAATTTTTAGAATTTCAAAAATGAAAGGCTTCAAAAGTTTCCAAGATCTCTCAAGTAATCTTACATGCTTACTTATTAAGTTTAACGTTTGTTATTTCTAGCCAGAATCATCATTTCGTCTCACTTTATTTTCCTTAAAACGACAAACACTAACCAAATGCACGGGACGAACTTATCACATGATGGAGACACGACTCAAATGATGACCTTAAAAAATTGCTTCACGTAAAAAACAGACTTATCTTTTCATTATTTCTATCATTGTTGAAACAAAGGTAAGATCGTGCCAGTGGAGGACAAGTGCGGACTGTACTCGAGCATAGATGAGGTGACCAAACATCCAGTGTACCATTCCTTCGAGGAAAACCTCAATTATGGCGATGCAGGAAACGAGAATGATGACGACAATGATGATGGTGACGGAAAGAGTGATTTCGTTCCTCTTGAGTCCAACAAAAAAGCATCAAAGTCTAGAAATTCTAACAGTAAGATGATGATGATGCCGAAAAAGTTTAGCGAATCTGATTCTTATCTCGTTGAGGATTTTCACGCTAATGCTAGTGAAAAAGCGCCACCAGCGACCACGACTGTCGTCACGACTGCCAAAACGAATGTTAGATCGTCTTCTATTAAGACTGCCTTGAAGCCGACAATTTTGGCAGCCACAACAACTACTCCTGCAACAACGACGACAGCTGCCGCAACCTCGAAATTTGGCAGATTAAACAGTGTGAAGAATTTGTTTTCAAAATCAAGCCACACTGCCGATAGCACAAGTAAGCAGCCGCAGAAGCTACAGCAGCAGCCACAACGGCAACAGCAACAGCAATTAGTGGAAAACATAAAGTATATAATTTTTTTTTAATTTCAACTCAATTGTTTGTGAAGAACTTTTGTAAAAACTGTTTGCTTTGAGTTTTTTTATTTATCTAATAAATATTATTGCTTTTATTATTATTATTATTATAGTTATTTATATTTTAATAAATACAATAATAATCTGAAAAACCAGGGTCCCTGAGAAGACTGGGAAGGACCTAGTTAGAAATTCGAAATTTGCAGTTGAAGACATCAGGGCCAGACGCATGAATCTAGTCTCGCGACCAAATACTCAGATGTTTTTCAACGAACCATCGTCACAGGCTGGAGAATCGTGTGCCGCAGCATCGCCTGCAACAAAACAGCAGAGATCCAGTTTAGAGCAACTCGATCCACTACAAGTAGATGACCAACAACAACCACAATCTCAACAGCAACAATTTTCGCAACAAATCCCGTTGCAACAACAAAAACTACAACAACATTATCAGAACATAGTGAGACTTCAGCAGCAGCAGCAACCAAATCAGCCAGCACCACCACAGCAGGAGCAGCAGCTACCACAAACATCACAACAGACCACACCACCGGCTGCAATCATGACAACATTCAAACCTGACGCAACGACATCTAACGATAAATTCCAGGTTAAAGTTTCAACAGCTAACCAACAACCGACTGCAACATTATCAAAATTATCAACAACAACCACGAAAGAAACGTCAGACGATGCGAATCTCACAACAAAACCGAAGTTTCAACCACCGAGAAAATTGACCGACGAATCGCTAGTTGACAAGAAATATCTAAATGGAAACACCGCACAGCAGCTGCAACAGCAACAGCAATCTAAACTGTCGAGACAGCTGCCAACTGAAAGAAATAAAACATTCAGTCCATCGTCTGCAATGAAGCCAACAGTTTCATCATCACTGAAACAGAAGCCCCTCATAAACCCTTGCAGCAGCAGTTCGACAACGCAGGACCCATCCAAGAAAAGGTTTTCACATTGTTCATCCCCCACAACAACAAATCTATCACCGACCAGCCTATCAACAGCATTCTTTCCAGCCACTTTCGAAACCACATCATCGTCAACTGTTCTCGCGACAAAACTTCAGCTGCCGTGTGACGTCATCGAATCGTCCCTCAAGAAGATGGAGATGTTTTTGAGTGGTGGTGAGGAAGAGGAGGAGGAGGAGGAGCGTAGGAACAATCAACTAGCATCGTCGTTAACAGCATCCTCATTTAGAGGCAGCGTGGATGGGGATGGCGTTGGAGAGGCGACTTCAAAGACAGCAGCTCAGCAGACTGGTGGTAGCACTGTCGTCAGGGATGTTTTCAAAGTTATTCCTGCCAACAGTTTAAGATGTAAAAGTCCACAGAAACTTGCGCAAACCACAAAAACTTCGAAAATGAGGACGAGCGCACCGTGGCGTGTGGATGTGTCCCATCAAAATGAAGGAGCTGACGCTGCTGGGGTCACCCTGGTGGCCATCAATAAGCCGTCCACACCCTCCTTCCTCAGCAAGAACCAGCCAGCCGACGTCCAATCAAAACAAACCATCATGGAGGAACTCATTAAGTGGAAGGAAAACAAAATGAACTCCAACCAAGCGGACGATAACTCCTCAAAAAATTTCGCCACTCACAATGCAAGCAGTGTTAGTAGCAAGGATGATATCAGTTCTAAGGTAGGTCCTTACAAGCCATCAGCAGTCGATGGTATATATGGCTCGTCGTTGTTTCAGTCGGGTGCGTACAACATCTCAACCGGAAGTAGCGCTGTTGATGTCGCTGATGTTGGCTCTCCCATTAAAAATAAAAATACGAGCAGAGTGTATGCAGTTGCCGTCGACAACATCGCAAGCATCGGCAGCAACTTGCAAGTCAACCTCTTCAAAAACTCGGGAATTGTTGGGCTGTCCGGTAGAGAGGAGCGTGGGAATGATCTCGTGAAACAGTTGAGAACCGATCGTGGTCGTGTAAATCCGATCCAACAATCGAATTCCAGATCTGCGCACTACGAATTCGTTAGACCGAAGACAATTATGTATAATCAAAATAACTGCGAACTGGAGGAGTTGTTATACTCGCCGAGTTACAACGTAAGTGGGCACAGTAACGAAATGTCCGCTTCCGCTGAAGATTTCGAAAAAGTTCATTTTGTGGAAAACATTAACAACAATTTCAATCCTGAATTTGACCAGCTGAACAGAAACAACAACAACAACAGTAAAGGTAACATAGCGTTTCAGAGCAACTCACAACATGATTACGATAACGTTTTTCTCGGCTGCAACAATGATTTTGACGACTCGACTGACATCATTCGAAGCATCAACAATTGTAAATATAACAGGCGAGCACGTGACGATACGAGTATACAGTTTACAAATTTACATAAAAATAATTATAATAACATTTTGAACGACAACCCTAAAAATCCTGTCAGGAATAAAGCTAACAACGTCATCACTTTCACCTCATCAAACAACAGCTTGTTCGACGCAACAAACCACGCGAAACACTTCGCACATCAACAAAACGCGTGCAACAGAAACAACAACGGCAACAACGCCTATCACCACATAAACACAAACCAAAGTAGCTACAACCAAACTGATTCACGCATGGTGTCCAAAGAAGGCTCGCTAACCAGCAAAAGCTTTAGTAACGATGATATCTTAGCCTTGAAAGATGACGGTCAATTGGTGCTACCCTACAATAACTATCACCAACAACAACAATTTAATCAGCAGAGCAGACATCAACAACAACAACAGCAGCAGCACAGCCGATCCGTCGGTATGCAACCGAAACCGGTCCATCATAATCACGGATCCGATCCAATCGGTAGAGGTACATCTAGTGTAGTGCCTTACTCCTTTCTAGGTAGTAATACGGATAAACGTCAGAATCGAATCTCGTCGGTTTTTGTCCAACCCATCAACCCGCCAATCAAATCGTACAATCAAAACAACAACAACAATTTTGTTAACAGCAATGTTAATATTAACAACTCCTCGTACAGGATCGACAACAATTTTAATAGATTTGCCATGCAGAATAGCGGAAAATTCCTATCACAGAGTTACAACGGCAGGCAAGCCAGTTTTTATGATAAGGACGATGTAGATGGACAGATATATTTCACCGATGACGACAGATATAACAACAATTACTACTACAACAACAATAGCTTCAATAACATCAACAACATTAATAACAACATCAATAACAGTAACGTCAATTACATTAACACTAATAACAACAGGTATAATCATAATATTATTAATTATAATATTAGTGATGATAATAATAATAACTTAAATAATAATAATAATAATTATGATGGAAAAGTTTCGAAATACGTGACGATTGTAAACGTCGAATCTGACAGTAGTGTACATGGAGGTGGCTGTGATCACGTCAGGATTACTAATCCGTCATTGATCTGAGAGGATGATGTTGTGATGACGACGATGATTATGGTGATATTGATAGTGATTTGAGGACGAAGACGGTGGCGATGATGGTGATGATGTTAGCACTGCCATTCTGTCGTTAATCTAAAATGATGAGGATGATAATGATGACGATGGTGGTGATGATAATGATGACGATGGTGGTGATGATGACGATGATAATAGATGCTTTTGTTGGTAATGATTAGCTAGTTGATGAATGATGACGACGATGATGATGATGATGATAACGTGCTAATGATGTCAATAAGTTATGATGTGATAATGACTCTTGTAGCGATGATGTTTAATCAAATACTAAACTAAGCTTCACGATGAAAAAATTAAATTAAATTATTTCTCTTAGTACTATCTATCTTGTTTTTTTTTGTGTGTGTGTGTGTTTTTTGTGTGTTTGTGAGTGTTTTTTGTGTGTTTGTGTGAAAATTTCTTCCTATTCAGTTATTATTATTATTATTATTGCAACGTGTGTACGTTAAATAGCGTCCTAAAATTGTTTAATTTTAATTCGGTAAATGCGTTTTCATAGTAAAATACTAAAATATATCTTTTAGTAAAAAATAATTATAAAAGTAACAATAATAATATATTTAGGTAATGAAGTGTCAAATTTTATAATTTACTTGTTTATTTTCGATTCCATGCTTATAATTTTTAAAGAGAAACGGTTAAAGAGAGAAAGAGAGAGAGAGAGAGAGAGAAGGAGAGAGAGAACATATTACACACGCGCCAACCAATAAACAAACTACTTCTAAAACATTTTTTGGTAAACCTTGATTTTTGTTCAACCGAAATTTGTTACACACAGCCATATTTTTATAATTCTGTAGTTAATGAGATTCGTAATAGTTTTATTAATAGTTCTGAGTGGATTTGTAGGCGTACAAAGATGAAGCTAATGTTGTGTTCCATGTTCAGATCTTTCTTCGGCGTCAAATTTATTTCTCCACTTCTGCCACTTCTTCGTTTGTTTTGGTTTTTCTTGTTGTTGCAGATGTATTTTACTGTGAACCGAACATTTTAAAATATTTTGTTGAGTTTTTACAGAAAAATTTAACTTTTTATTTATTTATTTTATTTTATTCGTTTAATTATTATCCTCATTCATTCCTGTGAATTGCTGATTGACAAATGATTGATCAGTTTATATACAATGAATTCATTTATAGTACATATTATTCAAAAGCGCCCTCGTTTTGTTGCTTGTGCTGTGTGTGTGCGTGTCTGTGTGTGTGTGTGTGTGGTGTTGTGTACCTATTCCTAATTTACCGTTATCATTAACACTTGTTAAAAAAATGTAGTTTTTATAAATGCGAATATGATAGTTGCCCTTTGTTGTAACATTTCATGATTTTTTCATTTTTTCTATACTGTCGCCTTGATTTATTTCATAAAGCTAGATAGATAGATAGATAGATGCCTTTAACGAACTATTGTCGATAATAAACTTGTTCTCAAATGTCAATAACACTATTTCATTTAAAATTTTAAAATTAACGATTAAATTGGTCATTTGTGATGCAATTTAATGTAAAAACTATCAGAATGAAGTTAGAACTATCAGAATTAAGTTAGAAATATTAAAATAAAGTTAGAACTATCAAAATACCCTCTTTTTTCAACATGATTTAAAATTAAAGCTATCAAAAAAGTTGATTAATGACCGGATGAAGATATTAGATTAAATGTTTATTCCTTGAAATGGCTCTTGAAAGCACCTCTATATTAATTATCGCACTTAAATCTCTTTGAACTTATCAAAATCTCAAAACGTACGCGCATCTATAACGTGTGAATTTTTCATATGCCCAAAGTTTGCAGCAAGAACTCTGTTAATCTACGTGAGATTTGCCTAAAATTTGTTTTGATTAATTGCATATCTGATATCAAATCAGTCCTAATAGATTGCACCAAATCGTACAAATAGTACCAGATGATTCAAAATTGTTGTCAAGCTTATCAATAGATATCTCGGGATATCGTTCTATTGTTATTTCAAATTAGGATTTCACGATAGTTGTGTAACTGTAATTTATATTAATTTACTCTTATGTTAAGTTTAATTTTCGTCAATTTGATCGTAAAATCATAAAATTTTAAATGTTGTACATAGTATTAGCGTGTTATATTTGTTCACAGATCGTGACTAATATAGCTTTTTGAGTTTATAACCTCAGCGGTCCTTATCTGAGCGTCGAACGATAGAGACGCCACAAAACTTATTAGTTTAATATTTTCTCAGTAGATTCAATTGAAGGATCATAAATTGAAACTCGTAAATAGAGTCTCTTTCATATATTCACATGTACAGTGAATGGCTGTAAACTTTTTTATCTCTCTTTCTCTCTCTCTCTCTTTTTCTCGGTTTCTCTCTCTTGTATCACAAATTCCGATTAATATAAAACTTGTTCGTATATTGTATTTATACTTGCATCTTAAATATTGCAGTTAATTTGGTTAATATTGCAAATAGAAACCAACTTGATTAGTTCAAATTAAACGTTGAACAAAACTCAAAAGACTCACTTCAACGAACGTACACAAAGGGTGAGCACCATCCTTGTTAATTGATTGGCAAACAGAGGCGGCAAACCACTTTAATCTTTCTCATGCCTAGCAGCGAACGGTACAGTAGCACCAAGGTTTAAGAGTATATTTAACATTGAACCCCGACTATATGAACTTCACAATTTGCTCTCAAACGCAAGTGGTAGTGGCTATATTTCCATTGGCTGATAATTATAATTTATGATGATAGCTGATTCGTTTATCAAAAATTGTTCTGCGATTTGATTGGTTCTCAGAATTTGAAATGATACAGTGAAATAGTTTCTAGATTTTGACAGGCTGTGATTTGTGTTGATATGACTTCGCCTCTATAGATTCGGCACACGCTGTTTTTGTCAACGACTACATCTTTCAAATTTAAAAATACAAATTATTATAATAATTAATTCATTTGTGCAACTGATAGTCGAACAGAGATAACAATAAATTATCAATCCGGTAAAAGAAAGAATGTATGAAGCAATGAGTAACTGTTTGAAAATTTTTTCTAAATAAAAATATTAATAATAAGCTAAAACAACGACCATTTGGATTCAGCAGATGATGTGGACAACACGTCACCTTACAACTTTCCACTTCTTACACCGCTGCTTACAACATTTGAGATCGATGAGGTCGTCAGTCCGGTTCAGTGCGATGTCTCAGCAGAACTTGCTCAGCTAGGAGTATCACAGAGTAGTTACAAACTTCACAGTCGTTTATTGAGTGATTCTTAAACATTTTATGTTGCTGTGCACACATTTTTAAATAAGTGAAAAATGTTTAGAGTGGCAATGAAAATTAACATGTTTCAGTTTTACTGTATTCACCACGCACGACAAAAATTGACGATCATGTCTAAATCATTTCATATTCACAAGCGAATCATTCAATTTGTCAACAGATCCTTTAGACTGGAGTATGTCTGATGTTCAAACCTGGTTGATATGGGTTACACTAGAACTTTCTCTTCAAAGTTTTGATTTGACGAAAGTTTCTTACACAGGTAGGCAGTTGATTGAACGGGGGAGATCAAGCTTTTTGAAGCTTCTACCTGAATCCATCAGTGATGTCGTCTGGGAACATTTTCAAATTCTCGTTAAACGAGGTGGTTTGGATATTTTCAGTAAAATAAACTTTAATTTTTCTATTCATTTTTTTCAAATTTATACAAAAAAAATCTTACCACACTTACAAGCACTTCAAAATTCTCCGTCAAACAATTTTAATGCATCTCCAACCGTTGCATCATCTGACAATGCATCAAAAGTTGATGATGACAAAACTTCTCTAGCAAATAATGACCATCATATTTTGACTGTTGTCTGCGATGCAAGCAGGAACAATATTACGAACGTCAGCTTTCCACATGACTTACCAACATCTGAACTCAACGACGATGAATCCATCCGACCATCGCACACGTTCTCCAGCTGCATGTTTGAAAAGGTTAGTAACACGTCAGAGGAACTCGGAGTAACAGATGAATCTTATTTCAACGCCAATACGTCAAACAAGACGTATTTCAACAAATCTTCATTTTACAGACGTTTTAACAATGAACAAATCAACAAAATGATGAATTCGCTTGAAGACTTAACGCAAACGTCAGACGAAAATTCAGAAAATTCTCTGACAAACATTTCCTTATATTCTATATATAACGACACATGTTGTTATGGCAACAACTCTTACACAGGCCACATAACGAACTACAACTTTAAACAGAGCAAAAATAATTGGCACTTTTCAAGTGGCCCAACGTTAATCGATGACTTTATTTACCCTAACAACCTTAACGACGTCGATTTCAGTGTTCCAGCAAACTCGAGTACAACCAACTTAACAATCGTTTCTCCTTATTTCGGTAACGGGCCAATACAGCTCTGGCAGTTTTTGTTAGATCTATTGATGAACCCAAATTATTGCCACGTGATAGCCTGGACAGGTGACGGATGGGAATTCAAACTGATAAATCCGGACAAAGTGGCGGAGTTGTGGGGAAGACAGAAATGCAAACCAAAAATGAATTATGAAAAATTAAGTCGTGGTCTTCGATATTATTACGACAAAAAGATAATCATAAAAACAGCCGGAAAACGTTATGTGTATAGATTCATATGTGATATGAAACAGCTGGTGATGTCCGACTCGCCTTCCGAATTAATCTACAAATGTCGACTATATCAAAATGAAGGCGTCAACGTTTTAAATAACTGTTACTATTCGTTCTATTGAGTCAGTTTATTTGCTGTAAATACTTTTCTTCAATTAATCAATCAATCAATCAATCCATCAATCAATCAATCAATTAATCAATTTGTAAAGCGCTATTTCCGCGATGTTCAACAGCGCTCCTCAATGAATTTTGAAAACGGATGGGTCTTGAGATCCGCTCTGAACTTTGTAAGTGATGGAGAAGTAGTCAGAGAAGTAGGTAGAGAGTTCCAGAGAAAAGGGCCAGAAAAGCAAAAACAGATTTAGCAAAGGAGTGTTTAACATGAGTTAAGAAGAAGAGAGAACAAGACGATCGTAAACCGGGACGTTTAGGTTCAATTAATATCTGATAAGTACTTAGGAAATAATTTAAATTGAGACTTATTCATAAATGTGTAAATTTTAAATTTTATTTTATAATAAAAGATAAAAGTCATGTGTTTGCATATTTTACAACGATCATGTTAACGAAATTTGCGAAATTTATGAAATACCCGATCTATATTCTATAAGTGGTCATATCTTTCGAATCTAATTTTAAAACGCTGTCACAAGAATAAATAAACTATAGAACTAAAATAAGCAAAAGCAGTGTAAGAACGTTTAATCAATTGATTTATTAATGAGAGTTTTACGAAGATTTTGATATAATACTTGTCAGATAGATGAGAAAGTAATCAGAATTTAATCTAAGAATTACACGGTTGGAAAACATGTAAAAGAAGTCCTGTTTCATTTTTGACCGGTTTTTGATTACAAACCCATCAAACCAAGGGGAGGCCTATTTACCAGCATACAACACCTTCTTATGGGTTGAAGCAGGGATATGCAAAGAACCTCAATTTTTTCAACTTTTAATTAGTTTCATTAATGTCTCCCCTTGCCACATAACTAGAATAATAGGACTAATCGATCAATTCGATCTATCGGTCGGGCTATTTGTCTTGCTTGGATTGTTGGCTTACGAAATTGCATGGATTTTAACGAGCAAGCTAAATGAAATATTTACTTGATTTAATATGCTTAAAACATTGTAGTAATTCTATTTAATTTTAATAATGATTAATAGAATTATGTATTATTAAATTATTTTTGTTAATTTGAATATAAAAATTGCTTTTGGTCCGGTGAAATCCGGTGGCTTACTGAAGCCGAAGGTTGGCTTAGTAGGATTGAACTATAGTCACCCTTTTTTTACACTATTCGATCATGTTAAAAATTGGTTTGCTTATGAAATAAACGACCTAAATAAATCAAAATTGTTATTTGAACAACTATCTTCATTATATTCAATGAATATTTTACATTCTGCTGGTGCTCATAAGAAACTGGCTGCTGAAATCATACGTTGGCTTACAGCAGTGGCTTACAGGGTTTCATAGAACTCTTACGATAGCACTTTTTTGTACATATGATGCTTTTAATAAATATATTCATATCACAATTATTTTTGTCAGTATAAATATAGAAATTGCTTTTGTCAAGTGAAAAATAGTGGCTTACTGAAGCCGTAGGTTGGCTTAATCGGATTTTTTCTCATATATACAATACTATGAGATAAATCAATCAATCGGTCGGTCGGTCGGTCAGTCAGCCAGCCAGCCAGCCAGTCAGTCACTCTGTCAGTCAATCAATCAACCAACCGATCAATCAACCGATCAATCAACCGATCAATCAATCAACTAAATTGAATGAATCAAATAAACAAAAATAAAACAAAAATAAATAAAAAAAATTTGCAAGGCCTGTTTAAACTCGAACAAACAGTTAACCGTACAGATCTACAAACAATTTCGAGATTTTAGTAAAGAAAGAAAAACACAGTAGTTGTTTTTATTTGAATTCATTCAAAAATGAAAAGTGACGGTTAATTAAAATTTTAAAATGTCAATTTTTTTTAAAATTCGTAATTTAGATAAACAAATATAATAAAATATCGACCGATAAAAATAATTAATATCCATTATTATTATTATCATACACACTCCTTAGAAGTTCTCGAAGGATAATAAACCACGTAACATGAACATTTAGTAAGAACAGTTCACAACATATCATAATGACTAAATCAACATACTAAACAGAAATAATTTATACATGCATATATACAAAGTAAATCAAGAAATATCCAAAAATTATATAACCAATTTAAAAAAAAAACTAGAAACCAATCAACATTTAATGAATAAATAAAATGACAATATTAAAAAGATTGTTCAAAAAGGTACAATTTAAGGCGACGACGAGAATAAAATGTAGTTTGTTTTGTTGGTGTGGTGTTGTGAAGCGAAAACAAACACATCACACAAAACTAGTAAGGAGTCGCAAGAATAATAGTCGGTCACCTACCTATAATAAAATTACTCTCAGGGCCCTAGCTTACTTATAAACATTGACTCAACCCACTTACTTACAAATTTGTATTTCTCGTTTTAGATGTTTCAAGTATTTTATTTAACATATTTCAGCGTTTTTATTTTACTTGAAGCTTTTTAACTAATGTTAAGCCCTAGCCTACCTACAATTGTTTAACTCATCTCAGTCCCTAACTTACCTATGAATTAAATTAAAGTCCGGTTCACGGTAAAGAAAATACAAAGTTGAAGAGAAACATAACAACGACACCGAATGAATGGATGTTGTGTATGTATGTGTTGTATTGATGTGTGTGTATGTAAATGTGCGGGCGCGCACTCTCCAGAAACTTCAATCACTACCGACGAACCTCCATTGCACCGACCGTCATCTGACACGCATCGATGGAATGAATTTGACCAGATACTGAAAAATAAATTGAAAAAAAAATTCACTAAAATAAAAAACAAGCAATTGGAAAAAATAGGCAACTTATCTTTTTGAGATAACACTCAATCTTTGTTCAAATTCGAGTACTTTCAAAGGTACAATGAGACAAAAACAAATTTACCTTTAACATTATCTTCGATTTGTCATCGGAATGATCATCATGAGACTACCATCTGAAACGTGCTGGCGCCCACCACAGCCCACCTCTCATCATTCTGTAGACAAGTTTTTATTAATTAGCAAAGTAGGAAATCAAGAAACAAAGGAACGAACGAATAAATGATTAACTGGATGATTGAACGATTGGTTGAATGAATAAATTAACTAATTAATTAATCAACCAATGATTTAATGAATGAATAGATTGAATCAATGAATAAATTAACTGAGGAATAATTTGAAAGATAGTGATAAAATGAATGAATGAATGAATGAGAAAAATAAAAAAAAGAAACTAAATCATACTTCAAAAACCGTCGTTGTTATCTTCGATTTGTCATCGGAATGATCATCATGAGACTACCATCTGAAACGTGCTGACGCCCACCACAGCCCACCTCTCATCATTCTGGAGACAAGTTATTAATTAGCGAAGTAGTAAATCAAGGAACAAAGGAACGATCGAATAAATGATTAACTGAATGATTGAATAATTGGTTGAATGAATGAGTGAATGAATGAATGAATTAATAAATCAATGATTCATTTAATGAATAGAATGAATTAACGAATCAATTAATAGAAGAATAATTTAAAAGGTTGAGTGATAAAATGAACGAATGAGAAAAATAAAAAATGAAACTAAACCTTACTTCAAAAATCGTCGTTACTGTACTTTCCATTGCACCGACCATCACCATCTGGTCGGCACACAAAATGCCATCCGAACTTCAGAGTGTCAGTCGAACAGCCAACGAGCTGATTCTTCTTACACCACCACCATCATATGTAAATCATCATGAGACCACCATATAAAACGTGCTGACTCCCACCACTGCCCACCTCTCATCATTCTGTAAACAAAATTTTTTTGTTTGCGTAGTAGTAAATGAATGTTAGAATCTTAGAAGCAAAAAAAATTAAATTATAAAATGAAAATAATGTCAAATAAATAAAATTTTAAAATAATAAAGTAAGTAAAATGTAAAAAAAACTTACCGTCGTCCATTCGACAAAGGCAGAATGTTGAATGCGGTCCGGTTCCTACGTTATCCTCCAAAACTGGTGCCAGTCCTCCTCGAGATTGTTGTTGAAACACAGCCCGTGTTGATGGAGAAAGATAGAGAAAGAGTAGATTCTCATCAGAAAGCTTAGCGGTGCCTGCATCTCAAATTGCTTAATAAAAATAATCCTATCTACCTATTCAATTACCTTAACTAATCTATATAAAATTGTTAATGGTACGATAGTCGAAAGTCCCCCTTCATTCTTCCTCCTTGCACAGAGGTTCACCGACAGCCAGAGCACCGGATAGAAAACCATTGCCGTGCGGATAGTAGACTATTGCCGTGCGGATAGTAAACCATTTGCCGTCCGGAAGCCGTGCGGGTAGTAGACTATGGCCGTGCCGCATGGTAAATCATTACCGTGCAGATAGTAAACCATTGCCGTCCGGATAGTAAACCATTGCCGGTACACCACTGGCCACCAAGGCTTACCTCTGACAACAGACTTCGAAATTCAGAGTCTATCGGCTATCGTACCCTCAACTTACCTATTCATTACAATTAAGCCCTAGCTTACCTAAAATAACAAAAAACTCAAGAGCCCAATTCATTTGCCAATCGGCACCCACCCCACCACCTACGTAATGCCTTGGGCTCCAACTTAGTAATAATATAAAACTTAAACCCTAAATCTATTAATGAGTATGTGTTACAACGTAGCCTTAACTTACCTATTTATTACATTATGGCCCTAGCTTACCTAAAATTACAAAACTCAAGAGCCCAATTCATTGGCCTTTCGGCACCCACCCCACCACCTACGTAATGCCTTGGGCTCCAACCTAATAATAATAATGTGAAACTTAATAACTAACTTACCTCTCGATACACTTACAGCGTTTATTTAATTTAAATTACAAGATTGTTCCTAGAATTAAATTATTGCTTTTAACTACCTATGAAATTAAATTACTCTCA